TTCGTAAAACAAAGATGGAGTGAGTTAATTAATTGGAGCCTAGAGTATACCTGGTATCACACAAACACACGCACGCACGCACGCGCGCGCACACACACACACACACACACACACACACACACACACCCACCCCGCAAATTGGCTAATTCTCAGCATACCAGATACTTTGAAACTGGTTTTGATGTTCCATGCAGCCTGAAGGGCTTTGGCTGCTGCAAGACTAAGGAAACCCATCTTCCTCCCACGTGTGCTGACTCCCAAACCTGTTCATTTAGAGAGACAGATTTCTGATTCTTTCCAAAACCCGAAGAGGCATCTCAGGTCAAGCCAAAGGCCGTTAGCCATTCTGATATTTAAATACCTGCTGATTAGAATTTGCATAGGGAAGCCCTCCCTAGCCCAGCGGCTGCACACAGAGTTTGATCCTGGGCCAGGGGGCTGACCCACAGGGCTGGGCAGACCTCTCCTGTCCCCCACTGCTCCCCTCAGCAGTGTACTTTGTCAATCTGCCTGTTCTGCTCCCCACTTTGTCTCTGGAGAATCCTCTCATCACCCCTGCACCTCTGGCCTGTACCCCAGTTCTGTATGCATAAATAAATAATCTTTAAAAAAAGAATTTGCATTAGGGTCTGATGTTAATGTTTCCTTAGTAAATTCAGCCAGAATAATTAGAGCAACCAGAAGTCTCAATCTGGAATTGAGGCTGAGGTTCAAGTCATGATTTAGGGTCAGCAAAACCCTCAAGGAAAAGCCCAGTTGCCCCACTGCGTCCTGGAAGTGTGTTTTACCTTTCTGCCATCTGCACCAGCACGCGGGACAGGAGGGGCACTCGGCCGACTGCCTAATGTCCCCCTAACCAGAACTTGTTTCAGGTTGAAACAAACATTTGTAAGTTCAACTAGTTTACTGATTCCAAACAGAACCTCAAGGTGGAACTACCAGCTCTACAGTCCCCGCCCCACAATCCTTTCAGGGAGACGGGCCGAGCACATCACCACACTGTAAGGACACGGACCACACGGAGGAAACCCATGCAAACTCCGTGTTGCATAAGCCACTGAAAAGCCTAGAACCAGCAGGGGTTCACCGTGCTAAGTCTGGTGCCTGGACTTGCAGTAACTTCCAGCTCTTGCTGCTACATTTGCTATCACCTCTGTGCAGCCTCCTGCCCCCTCAGTCCCTAAAGTGAAGATTTGATCAGATACAGATCATCTCATGGCTCCTGTTACCCCTCACCAGGTTGTTGGGCAAGGTTTTCTTTCACAGGAGAATTAGCAGCAGAGGGCAGCTTCTAGCTCACTATTGTGAACAAAGCCCAGGACACCCGAGTTTTCCCAGGAGAACCTGGGAATCCCTTCACTGTGCGGAACCTTCATTTTCTTATCTACAAAATGAGGATTCGGATGGAATGAATTGAGATCCTTTCCACCGGAAATCCAGCCACGCTTCTCCTAGTCTGTCCTGTACCCCCCCTCCCGACTCCTCAGGCTCCCCCCCTCCCGACTCCTCAGGCTCAGTCACTGGCTCCGCGCATGGCTGGAGCTCCCAGGCAGCAGAGCGCCTATGAACCTGTGCGGCTCGAGGAGAGAAGACAGAGCCTAGAGCTTCGGAGCAACCTGGGGTCTCAGCCCTCCCACTTTGCAGCTGGGTGATAAAATACTTCACCTCTCAGTGGTTCACTGTCTCCATTTGGAAGCGAGGTTCACATAAGCACCTACTCAGGTTGTGAGAGTTCGTGCTCTCCCAGACGCTAAGGACCCTGTCTGGACACAGTCAGTGCTTGCTTAAGAATAAGTAAAACTTGGCACATAAACTTGGGGTGTCGACATCGGAACAGCTTTGTGACTGGTGACCCATCCTTTTGGGGTGTCATCCCCACTGATTCCTTTGGCCTACAGATCTCAGCCCCAAGTCTCTTGACTTGCAGGCCTCCCCAGGAGCCAGCAGAGGGGCCTGAGCTTGAAGAAGCCGCTTCTTCTAGCATAGGGCCTTCTAGAAGCCAGGAGATGCTGGCCAGATACTTTCGTTTAAGGATCCCAGTTTATTTTTTAAAGATTCATTTTACTTACTTATGCATACAAGAACTGGGGTGCAGGGTAGAGGTGGGGGGTGGTGGTGAGAGGATTCTCCAGAGACAGAGTGGGGAGCAGAAGAGGCAGATCCATGGAAATAACACTGCTGAGGGCAGCAGCCGGGAGACAGGAGAGGGCTGCTGGGCCCTGTGGGTCACTCCCCAGGCGGATGCAACTGGAGGCCCAGGATCCCACTTTATTTTTAGAAAACAAAGTAAAAAAGGAAAAGGCAAGCAGGATTACAACTGTGGGAGGCTTTAAATATTCTATTGAGCAGAGTGAAGCAGGGACAGCGGCTCCCCACCCCAATAAACTTAGAGATGCTGTTTATTCCGTATTTGCCAAGCATTCGCATTCTCAGGCGAATGGCCAGGGCTCAGCAGGTGGACCCCGGAGGGCGAACGTGGGGAGGTCCAGCATCTAAAGAGGAGACCTGGGTCAGTCTCGCCCACCCAAACCCAACCTCCCCTGCCAGATCTGCCGCGCCCCGCTTCGCCTTGGCCTCCGCCCGCCCGGGCCCTCCACCTACCCTCGACTCTGCCGCCGCCCCTCGCCCTCGGGCTGAGCCCACCCTCTCGCCAGGACCACGCGTTTGGGGTCGCCTCCCCAAGCGCGACCGCCCGAGGCGCGCCGGGAGGTGGTGTCCGCGGCAGTCCTCCGAGGAGCCCGCGGGGGGCACTCGTCCGGGCGGCGGGATCCCCGGAGCTGGAGGCGGGGGCTCGCTCCCGCG